TTTTTTTTTTTTTTTTAGAGACAGACTCTCACTTTGTCAACCTTGGTAGAGTGCCGTGGCATCACAGCTAACAGCAACCTCCAGCTCTTGGGCTTAGGTGATTCTCTTGCCTCAGCCTCCTAAGTAGCTGGGACTATAGGCACCCACCACAATGCCTGGCTATTTTTTGTTGCAGTTTGGCCGGGGCTAGGTTTGAACCTGCCACCCTCAGTATATGGGGCAGGAGCCCTATTCACTGAGCCGTAGGTGCCGCCCTCTTTTTTTTTTTTTTTTTAAGAGACAGAATCTCACTTTGTTGCCCTTAGAGTGTCCTGGTGTCACAGCTCACAACAACCTTGAGCTCTTGGGCTTAGGCTATTCTTTTGCCTCAGCCTCTCGAGTAGCTGAGACTACAGGTGCCCACCGCAATGCCCGGCTATTTTTTTGTTGTTGTTGCAGTTTGGCTGGGACCAGGTTCAAACCTGCTACCCTTGGTATATGGGGCCAGTGCCCTACTCAGTGAGCCATAGGCGCCACCCAAGTCTTTGGATTTCTATTGTAGCAGGAGATTTATGTGCTTAAATGTGCTGGTCTTTAATAAAGCCAATCATTTTTGTAGCTTCATTAACTACATTTTTCATTTCACTTCGGAGGGTTTTTGATGCTAGTACCTCTCTGAAGAAAACAATGTCATGAGACAACAGGATTTTTTTTGTTTGGGGGGGGGGTCAGAGTCTCACTCTGTCACTCTGGGTAGAGTGCCACAGAGTCATAGCTCATAGCACCCTCAAATTCTTGGGCTCAAGCAATTCTCTTGTCTCAGGCTCCCAAGTAGCTGAGATTACCAGGATTCCTGAGCTCAAGCAATTCACCCACCTCGGCCTCCCACAGTGCTAGATTTACAGGCATGAGCAACCTTGCCTGGCCAAGATTTTTTTTTTTTTTAAGACAGAGTTTCACTATGTCATTCTTGGTAGAGTGCTGTGATGTCACAGCTCACAGCAACCTCAAACTCTTAAGACTTAAGCCATTCTCTTGCCTTACCCTCCTTAGTAGCTGGGACTTATAGGCACTCACCACCATGCCTGGCTATTTTTTGGTTGCAGTTGTCATTGTTGTTTAGCAGGCCTAGGTTGGACTTGAACCTGCCAGCCTCGGTGGGAGCCAAGATGTTTTTTAAACAAGAGAGATAAAACCTTGCCCTGAGCCAGCCACTAATGGGAAACCTCAGTGTAAATGCCAACTCATTTTCTCCAGGACGGACTTTTTGTTTTTACGTATGAAGATATCACATTAAATATGTTCTGCCCTTTGATTTGTGGTATATTTTTGTAGCAGAAAAATTTCTCTTGACTTTCCCCATTGTTGAAAACTTTTTCAGTTTGTTTTACATGGTATCAAAAAGACACTTACACGACATATATTGACAAAATCTGTTTCTTTGTCAGCCTGAGTAGACAAGCTGTTCTCAGTTTTATTATCCAAACTTCATCATGTAACATGTCATCAATTTGTTGACTTATACTGTTGAAGAGTGAAATTTTTCTTTTTTTTTGTTTTTTTGAGACAGTCTCACTTTGTCACCCTTGGTCAAGTGCTGTGGTGTCACAGCTCACAACATCCTCCAACTCCTGGCTTAGGTGATTCTTTTGCTTCAGCCTTTCCAGTAGCTGCGACTATAGGTACCCACCACACAATGCCTGGTTATTTTTTGTTGCAGTTTGGCCGGAGATGGGTTCGAACCCACCACCCTCAGTATATGGGGCAGGCGCCCTACCCATTGAGCCACAGGCACTGCCAAAAAGAGTGAAACCTTTTTAATTTCTCATACTGTACATTTTAATCTCTGCCATTTGATATGCTGATATTATTAGGGTCCTGTCAGCTGTGTGATTCTTTTTGGGCAGTAAATTCTACTACTTAATAATATGCTTCATGAGCTTTTTCACTAAATGTGACTTCTTTTTTTTGGGACAGAGCCTCAAGCTGTCCCCCTGGGAAGAATGCCATGGC